GTGTATCTCAAAAAGAATGGAGAGCAAGGCCAGGAATATTGGAAATGTGTAGGGAGGAAGTGATAAGGCTGACTACATTCCAAGAATAGTGTTTAGATTAGACCTCATTAATAGGTCATTTTTGTGGAAAGCCTTGAAGAGGTAAAGGAATTAGCCATAAAGATATTAACAGAAGAGAATTTCATGCAAAGCCCCTAAAGCAGGGAAAAGCAAGGGAACTAGTGTGGTTGGAGAGAGTGAGCAAGTAAAAGAGTTATGTAAGATAAATTCAGAGTCAACAGGGCATCAAATCAACTAGGGTCATGTAAGCCTCTGTTAAGGACTCTGCTTTTACTCTGAATTAAATGAAAAGCCACTGGAAGTATGACATCTGAGCGTATCACTCTGGCACCTGTGCTTAGAACAGACATAGAAGGACAAGAGTTGAAGAGTTAAGAGGCTGTTGCGATAATTCAGGCATCAGATGATGGTAGTGGCATGGCCCAGGGTGGGAGTAGCAGGAATGATGAGAAAAGGCAGACTCTGGATATATTAAGAAAGTAAACAGGATTTTTGTATGGATTGGATGTGAGATATGAGATTACCAAGGGAATAGACAGAAAAGAGAACTAAGGACTATCTCCTAGAACATTCCACATTTAAGAAGTTGAGGAAAAATCAACAAGGGAGAGTGAAAATAGAGCACTAGGTACACAAGCGTTAGAAAAAAAATTTTTTTAAGTATAGCATCGCATCAAATATTGCTAATGGTTCAAGTTATGTAAAGACTGAGAATTGACCACTGGATTTAACAATTTGTGTAACACTGGTGAAAGGGGCTGAAAAGCCTTTTTTTACACAGGATTAAGAGACAATGGGAGAGGAGGATCTGATAAAAGCAGGAATAGATAACCGTTTTGAGGAGATCTGCTACAAAGTGAAAGAAAAATATGGGGTTGTAGCTTGTGAGAGAATGAATCAAGAGAATGGAGTATTTTTTCTAATAATTAGAGAAATAAATATATACTTGTATGCTGATAGGAATGATCCAATAAAAATGAAAAAAAAAATGATATAGAAGACAGAGGAAAGACTTGTTGCATCAGTGTTCTTGAGTAGACCAGAGTGGATAAGATGTAGTTAATAAATGGAAAGCTAGCCTTTGACTAGGCGCTCATCTTTGGTAAGAGTAGGGAAAAGGCAAGTACACATTCTAATAGATGAGTACAGTGATGGAAATCTGTGGAGGCTATTCTCATTACTTAAAGTTTCTCAGTTCAGTCAGATGTAAGGTCATCACCTAAGGTGGGTGGGGGGATAGGAGGTTTAAGGAAGGAGGAAGGTATGAAACGAAGGTCTAGGAGAATGTAGAAGAACTGGGGAAGTATTGTGTAGTATGATTGGCAGTCAGCATTAAGGTCTCATTTGAGGTCTGTGGTCATGAATTTAATTCAATAAGCACACCTACATATTTTACCAAAGCTATGTTCAGCTGTGATAGATTCAGGAACTGAGTAGGTGGCAAGTTGTGTTTATGGTTGCTAAGCAAGTACAGTGAAGGCAGAAAGTAGCAAGAGAGTAGAAGTTGTATGCAAGGGACAGATTACTAGATTGAGGTTTGAGAAGATATCCGGGGGGTAAGGGATTGTGAAAAGATGGTACAAACAATGAATTGAAGTTCCCAGTGGACTTGAAGCATTGTTTACCTCAAGATTCTGGAAGGACTGAAATAGAAAACAAGTCATAGGGTGAAATGCATGTAATCGAGATCATGGGGTCTGTGGTGGTAATTAGCATTTGGTTATGACTAAGAGAGAGTGACTGAGATGGGGAAGAAAAGATCAGTGGAGGAATTGAGTTCAAGGAACTGAGAGGCTAGGGTGATGTGCATATCATATTTTTATATATTGAAATCACCAAGAATTGACACAGGAGTACAATGTGAGGACAATGAGCCAGGAGTTCAGACTTCTGAAAAACAAGGAGAGACCTGGATGGATGTAAACAGAGGCAAAAACAACAACAACAACAACAACAACAACAAAAAACCAGCAACACTGTTGGCTGTTAATAATCTGTTGGCATGAAATACAAGCTGGATGGCTTTAGGGAGAAGTGACAGAGAGCAGTTTGAAGTTGGCAGTAAGGACCAAGGAAACCTTCTACCTCACCTCCAGGTCAAATGCTACTTGAGAGCTGGGAGAAAAAAAACAGCCACCATTTGGCAAAGTGCTGCAGGAGAAGAAGGGTCTGGAGAAGAAAATTATGCTTACGTTAGATATGAAGATGAAGGGAAAGTTCAGAGAGGAAGTTGAGGAAGAATCCTGCTGATAATGGAAAGTTGGGGACGCATGGATGCAAGGGACCAAATAAGGATAGACATGAGTCAATTGAGAGATGGGCTTTCTGGTATTCACTGATATTAAATAATAGAAAACATATATATTGGTCTCTATCCCCAGTTCCTGGAACAGAGCTCCTAAAATCCTTGTAATTTCATAAATAACAACAGTATGGGGGGAGCATCTTTTGTTCTAATATTTGGCTTTTGACACTGCTTCCTGACATAGAACTCAAATCTCGGAAATTTCCTGGGTGATAGGAGAGTCCTTTGCTCTAAAGAGATGACTCTGGGTGGGCTCCTAATACCTTCAGGAAGGGGAGTTGTCACCAGAAAGATCAAGCCATAATTAGAGGCTTAGAACTTTCAGCCCTCTCCTCCCCATCCTCTCCCTATGGGAGAGGGGCTGGAAAGTGAGTTAATAATCATGTCTGCACAATAAAAGCCTCCACAAAAATTCCAAAAATATGGGATTAGAAGAGCTTCCAAATTGGTGAACACATCTGCATATGGACAGCACACCCCAATTCCACAATAGAAGTTCCTGTGCTCTGGATCCTTCCAGACCTCACTCTATGTACTTCTTCATCTGACTGTTCATCTGTATCCTTTATGATTTCCTATAGTATAAAATAAACTGGTCAACACAAGTAATTAGCTCCCTGAGTTCTGTGAACTATTCTAGCAGATGATGGAAGCTGAGGAGGGAGATCATGGAAACCTCCAATTTGTAGCCCAGTTAGGAGTTTGAGTAGCCTGGGGATCTACTACTTTTGATTCACATCTGAAGTAGTGTTTTGGGTGGGGGAGTCTTTTGGGAGCCCTCAACCCATGGGCTCTGTGTTAACTCCTAGTAGTGTTAGAACTGAATTGTAGGACACCAGATGGTGGTGTAGAGTGTTGCGTGGAAAAAAATCATTGATGTGGGAAAAATCCACAACATCTAAAGTGTTGTATGGTAGTGGTATGAGAGCAAATAATAAACACACAGGAGTGTTTTATTGTTCAAAAATAAACTCAGATAAATGGAAATAAAGGGCAGAATGAAATTGGTCCTGGTGAATTCAAAACAGATAAGGGTTGTGTGTTGAGGGTGTGTGGGAGGGTGTTATGGGTGTATGGGGCTCCCTCTTGTGCCTATAGAGGAAGGAGGTATGAGAAAGCAGGGTATTAGCAGCCTATGAAACTCACTTATCCCTCTTACAATGAAGGTATAATGTCTAGGCTTTGGTCCCAGTGCATGGATCTGGTCTTGATTCTATTGAGAGAGAGGAAAACTTACTCTAAGAGTCAGACTCAGTCTTGATACCTGTTGAAGAAATTAAGACTTCCAGAAAAGCCAGAAGTTACCTTTAGCCACCAGATTCTATGTCTAAAAATTAGAGTAAAAAACATGTAATCCCTACAGAATTTAGCTCAGGGCAGTTCTAACAATGAGGAGCCCAATAATTGTCAGTTGTACCCTTCTTTTGTACAGAGACGCAGTCTGTTTTCCTCTAGTCCTGAAAGAACTGGTTTGAAAAATAGTAATTTTATCATAGACCACTAAGAAGCAGAGTATTAACTATGTAGAAGGAATTTAGTACGACATTCCTGGTGAAATAAAATCATACTCTGTGTAAACCAATGAAGCGAAGTTGATCACTTAGTAGGTACAGTAACTTTCACTACAGTAGGTACCCAGTAGTTTCCAGTCATTTGTCCATCCCCCATCCATCTATCTATACATCCAATTTTACTGAATATCTGTGCTCCAGACACTGCAGAGAGCACTGGTGAGGAAACTAGTTATGATCTCCATCCTTATGATGTTTGCAGTCTAGTGAGGAAGAGAATTGTTGATCAAGGTATTGTATATATGATGAATGCCATGAGGTCAGAGTTTTCCAAAAGAAGGTAGAGGACCTAATTTTTACCATTTGCCAAGGATTATCTGAAGCCAATTTTTCAAATCCTAAAGGACTGATAACCTATAAGCTCATTTCTAAAATGATTCCATTGGCCATAGCAGGAGACTGGTGTAGAGCTATAGCACTAGGGAAACCTGACTATCCCAACTCCTTAAGCAAGCTTCTTGCCACTAACTGTTTTGGGGTATCATGTCCTCTGTATCCCCTTCCCAGAGCTTATGTTGACATTCACCACAAAGCAGTCTCAGTATCATCTATGTAGATTGAATTGTGCCACAGCTTTTGCAGCAATGGGATTGAGTTTTCTCTACAACTGAAGCTTAAGAAGAACCACATGTACAGCTGTTCTTTTAGAAGCTGAAGTGTGCAGCCCAGAGCATGCCCCCTTATAAGATAGGTTTCTGCACATTCACAGGGAGCAACAGTGAGGCATGATAGCCAAGCTTGGCTCCAGTTGAAAGATGCTTTGCTGAGACACAATTTCCTTCTGCCTAGTGAGGTCAGTAGTCATTTCACTTTCAGGTGAATCCAGTCCACTTTAGCTGTGCACCGAGAAAGTTTAACTTGCTCTTTGTTCACTTCATCTTGGCAGTTACTTGATGGTTCATTCTAAGCCTTATCTCACGATTCTAGAGTCATCCCAAATTATCCATTGGCTATTAAATCACATTCATTTTGCCATACTTAATTTAATCTGTCATTATACACTGCTAATCCAAAACCAGATCATAATATGGTATATGTCCATGTTATTAAAAAAATATACTCACTGCTACTTGGTGGCAAAAATAATCCATTGATATTTCGAGGTTTGCTGTGATAAAAGATACAACTGATCTTCACACAACCAAGAGGTTGAGTTTCCCAGAAGCATGAAATGCTGCAGTTTTGCTAGACAAAGGAGGTGGGGGAAATGTAATGATCAGGTGCCATACTCAAAATAAATACAACGTGCTACATGTGACAAAACTATCACGATTACTGATTTAGGATCATGTGTGTTTTCTAGCTTTCAGTGTTTCTAAACTCTGCTATTTAAAAGATGCAGTGGATATTTCTAAAATATAGTCCTCCATTTTTATAAGAATTTAAATTGAGCAACATGCCAAGTGCCTAAAATTAAGTGGTGGAAGAAAGAATCATTTTTTCTCTATTGTGTTGTAAGAGTGTACATTTCAATATTATTGAAGGGAGATCCTTTTAATAAACATGATGATGGTGCGTAAATCTACCTGCATTTCCATGTGTCTAAATCTGCAAAGTGGATCTAAACATTTTCCCTCTCTCCATAATGAGCACACAGTGTCACTGCCAAGGGCCTCTTCACAGTGTCGGAATCGGCACTGGGAACCCTAAAAGAAACAAGTAAACAGTATAGCAAACTCAACATACTGGCGTTAGTGTTCAACAACAGTAGGTTCCTAATTAATTAAAGAAAATATGACTAGATCAAATTAGAATCACAAAAAATACTACAAAACAAAGTCATAGGTCTAAATTTTAGCAAATGTGTTTAATTTTAGTGAGAGACTGATAATATAACGATTAAATAGTACAACATGCCACAAGTCACTGATAAATTGCTACATTTTGTTCTCTGTTAGTCCATATGATTCACTAAGAATAGATATATGAGAGCAGTGATAGTTTTAATCACAATCCAATGACAGAACAATTTAATTTCTCTTTCTGGAAAAAGCCAGTTCTTTGTTTGTCTTGTTTTTAAGAAACGCTAGTCATATTCTAATTGTGAAGATGATCTCCATTAATCAATCCCTTTATTAGATAATGTTTTCTTAGTCTATGGAGATATTGTTAAGTGTGTTTCTACAGGGGAAGTGAATGGAGCTTAAACTTTATATTATTGTGGAATTTTAGGGAATTACCACATTATGCTACAGTAAATCTCTGTGCTTTATGCCCTTGGTCTACAGAGATAAACAATTGTGCCAATACATATATAAACATCTTTATATATCAACAAAAGCAAATGTGGATCATTTTAATGGGATGCTATTGCTTTTTTTTTTTTTTTTTTTTTTTTTTTTTTTTTTTTAGTCTGCATCTTTTACACATAGGTCCACAGTTGGAAAAACTGCAGGCCATTATCTTCTTGACAGAGAGGTATGTCACATACAACAAAAATATTCCATATATGGAATATATACATATATATATGTTTTTTTCTTATCTTTTATTACCCTCTTACTCCTGTCTTCACTATTTCCCCTTTTTAAAAGTGGATTTGTGGATCTCGTAGTATAGGATAGTGGACAGGGGCTAGATAAACCAGTATTTGAACTCTTGGTTCCATTACTTGTCCATAGTTACAAAGTTTATACATTACTCATCCTTTCTGTGCCTCAGTTTCCTTATCTGTATGAAAAGAATAAAATGCCCTCTTCGCAGATTGTAAAAATTATGTGAGGAAGATATTGTGGTTGCTATTATTATTGTTATTTAATAATTTAATTATTTAGTAAGAATTTACCACCCATAAATTACTGTGCTAAGTTATTGAGGATACAGCAGTAAAACAGACAAAACTCTGCACATATGGAATAGAAATTCTATTATTATTTATCATCTCTATGTTTAATTATAAGGGGACAGGCAATTGAAGTGGATTTAATTCTTATGGTCAAAGAGGTTGAACCCATTCAGTTTTCCTAGCAGAGATGAAACACTTTAAATCACATTCATTGTGTCTTTCATTTTGGCATGAACACGAAGCTCCAAGTTTCTACATTTATTTGGTTTCAGTGAGATCCATTAATTCTAATCTCTTAAATTTTTTTCCCCTTTAGCCTTAAAAACTTGAATTCATATTTAGCTAATTTGTTTATATTACTTCTTTTCCTTTTTCCACGTTATCATATATTTGCTGTTAAATGTCAACAGGGAAAAATTCAGTAATTGGGTTAATAAATTTCAAATAAGAAATCAATTAGATTTATTAAACTAAGTTTGATAGTAAGGTGAATTTAACTTTTTGAATTTATATGATTGGAATCACACTAACCATAACAATATGATGTATCATACAATGTTTCAATATGTTTCAGTATTAAAAATCTGATGTCTCAATGAGCCATTATATAGGCAAAACGAGACATGAAGACAAAAAATCCATAGGCATTTAACAATTGTAAACAAATAATAATTTTAATTTCCTTAGAGAAATTCAATATGTCAAAAATACATGATAAGCTTTTACTTCAGATTGAAAATATGTATAATATTTTACAGGAAAATAATACATTTTGACTCAGCAATACAAATTATTGCCTTATCTTCCTTCATTCTACTAAAAAGCTTAAGCATGTGAAGTACCATAAGTTGTACAATATTTACCTTTATGCATGTTGAATTAAAAAAGAAATAGCAGTCATTCCCAACTTCTGCCATTTTCAACTCTCTTGCTGCTAATCCAATGTTTTTTAATATAAGAATTGCAGGAATGCAAATATGAGAACTATCAGTGTGTAAGGGGGGAAAATTTCTTTTCCACAGTCTTTCAGGCTATCAGTAGTATTCCTTTAAAACTGACCTCCTGTTGACAGTATATTACACAATAGATAATTCTTAAAGAAATTTAAATTAGAAGATACCTTCTCTAGCTTTGCAGAAATGTTGAATGTGGTTGCTAGTAAGCACACAAACTGAAACTTCCAGAATTTTCCTCATTGTTACCTAATCCATTGTTTGCTCATCATAACTGACCTCACGCGTAACTGCAGGCCAGCCTATCTTAGTGAATTCTGTATGGTCTTTCTTTCTCAATTCTAGTATATTAACCAAATAGGCTAGTAAAAATAAAATATTTATCTTTTAATGTTCTGATTGAATATGGGACTTAAACTAGTTCCTAATTTCATAGTCAAAAATATTAAGTATTTCACAAGTAAATAGCTGTTTTCTAAATTCTCATTTCTATATATGGTTTAGAAAAAAACCACATTTTTAAAATATGTAAATATACTATCTATACTCCAAAATAATAAATAAAATTATTTAAATATATACTTACTGCTATCCAATGAATTGGGAAAAAATCATTCAGATTGTGTTATTTTAATAGGTACCTGGAAATAAGCTGGACTATTTATTCATCTTGTAGCTATATTCATTCATTTTTCATCCATCATAAAAGGAGGAATAACTTCTTCCTATAGCAGAAAGGTTCCAGAGTGTCTGTAAATTTTGAGAATTTGTTGAAGACAAGGTGAAGTACTCTGATTCCCAGAATGAGACATTTAAATCAGCAGTTAGAGGTCTTTCTTCATCTTAGTTTTTTTACTAAAAGAACTAAAACGCAGCAAAATTTAATAAAATCATTCATAGTAGGTGATGTAGAAGATGCCATAGAGATGACAGTTTAGTAGATCAAAATGCATTTTTAAAATGTAAGGTACTTTGAATTGGAAATTAATAAGATAAAGATATATGGATTCCCATTTTCGTTAAGTAAAACAGACTAATTGGTATGAACTCTCTGAATCTAATACTTTAAGGTAAAATCTAAGAAATAAAATAAACTAAAATTTAGAAAAGAGTTGTGTGCCTATAACTGTAAATAAGAGAAAAAGTAAAAATAAATGGGTAGTATTTAAGTGAAGAAGTAGAGAATAAAGACTTGGCTAAACCCTTGAAAATATTAGCAAAGATACATATTTAAAAAAAAACCTTAATATCTTGCTTTCTGTTTTGCTCTATTTTCTAACTCTAGAACAACAAAGTATTCATTTTAAGCACCTAAATTACTGAGAGCAGCATCTCTAAGAAATATCTTTCAGTGGTCTTTTCCTCCAGATAAATTCTCTCTCTGCCTATGGGCTTTTAGCTGCATGTTTTATTTCCAAATACTGTTACCAAACACCATTATTGCATGATTACATGCAACATCACGGTTAACATAGGGGAAAGGATAAAAAAAAAGGTTTTTACCTTTTAGAGTTTGTTGGGGACAATTACATTTCCATTAGACACAGCAAAAACAGGTCAAACCATGATGGGAATTTTTGTTTTGTTATTGCAAAGAACAGTAAATAGATGTGTATATTTTGGTAGTCTTTGGCATGGAGCTTTAATTTCTTCTTTTTTTTTTTTAAACAAAACTCTCTTTTCTTTTCTTTTCTTTTTTTT